TATGAAGTTGTCATTTGTCAAGTTCACCTTCAATTCTTATCTCTTTTCCCTTATCTCTTATCACCTGTCTATAACCTTGAGCCATTACCTAGAGAACCTTCTTTTATACTATGTGTGAGCAACACTGGGATGACTCTTAGCTCTGGAGTAGAGGGGGAAGGAGAAGGATAGAGGAGGAAAGTTGCTTGGGAAGATTGTTCCGTAGAAGGGAGATGATGACCTGAAGGAACTCCTGGTGACAGCACCTACTCATAACTTTCCTCTTTGGTACTTCCCAGAGGCTATTATGAGGCTGTGTTCTGAGTCTCCCAACTAAAAAGTAGAATTGCTGTTGAAAAGGATTAGGTGTAAAAGGATGTGCTATAACCCCAGTGTTTTTGTAGGTAGGTTTATTAGTGTTTACTGCTGTATTGGAATTAAGTGCCTTAATAAGGAACGATGTCATGGAGTGTATGAGTTTTATGAGTCACTGAATGTTATGACTTTTAGAATAAGTAGGTGAAGCTGGGCTGTTCCCACGTGGTAAGCTGTCCTCTGCCAGGAACTAAGCAATTATAAAACAACTAACATTTATAGAATGCTGACTGACTCTCTTTGAAGCACTTAGCATATGCTCATGTTATCACAGCAATACTGTGATGTAGACACCATTGGTAGGCCCATTGCTCAGATGTGGAAATTGAAGCACAGAGTTTTTAAGTAATTGGTCCAAGATTCTTTTGCTTTATGGCTTGAATCCAGGTAGACTACTCCAAAGGTTTTGGCCTCAGTTTTTGCTATTGGTTGTCAACTAAATGTGCAGAAATAATTATCAACAAGAGATCTAACTGGACAAAGGGGTGGGAAAAGCTTAGTTTTGGCATGGACATAAAAGACAGTTTTTGAGATGTAGTGGGACAATATAGAAACAATTTACTGGCTGTTGGTTATTGGTAAAAGAGATAACCAAATTGAAGGAGATTTAATTTAAAACTCAGGGGTGATCCATCCCCAGCTCTGTAAACTCTGCTTCCCTGTGGTTAATTTGAGGTACTTCTCTGTGGTTATCGTAAGGCAACATGCTTGTGTTTGGGCCAGACATTGAAAATCATGTCAAGGCAGTTTATAGTCTTTGGCTCTGTAGTTTGGGACTTGTGCTCACCATCCCTTCCTTACTGGCTCCCATGAAGCTGGATGGAGATTATCAGGAGCTGCTTCTTAGGGAACTGGCCTTTTCCACCTCCAGTGGCACTCATCTCTCTTGTTTCTTAGCTGTCTTCTTTCCCTCCTGATCTTACTCATCTGGATTTCCTGCTGATCCCCAAGATGATGACTTATTTCTTTATATTTCTGACCCAATTTCTATTTCTAGTTTTGATTTATCCCCACTTGTCTTTGAGACCTTTTTATGGCTTAGGTTTGAGTGAAATGGCTTGGACAGGAGAATTCTGACCCAGACCCCATATGATTCTATGGTTCTTTGTTTTTGATCACTTATCCCCCTCTACCTTACATGGTTGTGATGGAGGTCAAGTAAAATAAGTTATAAAGTATGCCATAAATGTATGGGATTATTATTATTCCACCTTTTCCCCCCAAAGTAGTGTATTACTCTATATAAGCTTGGGTCTTGGTGCCTTTTCCATTGCTTACCTGTTTTACTCTCTAGTGCCCTATGTCTTACTCACTTTGAACATCTATCCCTGACACAGGGCTTTTTGGCATAGGTAGGGACTCAATAAATACTTGAATGGATGAAGAATGTCTGTCTAAAAGAAGTTTAATCATGGAGTCATAGTCCTTTTTTTTTGGTTCTAAGCACTGTTCCTGCCATATCCCTTTATGCTTCTTGAAGTTAATCTTGTTAAAAAGCAGCCCTTTGATAATTTCTTGCATTTCTTTTTACAGGATTTAATTCTAGTGCCTGTGGTTACCTTCCCAAGATCTGTACTTCCTTTATAAATACACATCTGATGAGTCTTTTTTTTTTTTTAAATAAAGCACATCAAGGAATCGTCCAACATTTTAAATTAGAGATATACTTTTTTTTTTAATATTCTTTGTTTATACATTTAACATATACGCATTAGTACCTCCTGGTGCTCAATATGAAACTCTGTTCCTAGGTTTTGGGATACAGCAGTAAGTAAAACAAATGAAACTCCTCCTTTTATGCAGGCTCCATTCTAGTGGGAGTGCCACCTAGTGAAGAGGTAAATGTATAAATGAGATAATTTCAACTACTATTAGGTGCCAATGGGGAATCCTTACACATGTAAAGAAACTGGGTATGATATAGATGCTATGCTGTTCATTTCATTGGGTATTCAACTGCCTAGAGGGTATCTAATTATTTTGTTTGTGAGTACTTTAAGCTCAGCCTCAACCATAGGAAAGATGGTGAATGACTGCAGAAGAGGTGATGTTACTTGTGCTTTTGGTTTTATGAAAGCACCTCAGTCTATATGGGGGCTCCTCAACATTAATGAGGATTCTCTTTGTTTCAGTTACTGATGTTTGAGTGCCTCTGAGGGAGAAAAGGAGCACTGGAGAAGATGGGAAGTTTTTGATTTCCCAGCATAACTGTTTTGTGCCATCTTCCTGCATTGGTGCTCCAGCAGCCTTGATGGTAGAGAAGTTGCTTGCTTGCTTATCATATTTTCTTTCAGGCCCATTCACTGGTGAGCAGGCTTGTACCATCTATTCATCTACCACAGAGCCAGTGAAGTAAGAAGACAGGGTGATAAGATGAAATGTGAACAGTGCCATACAGGGCACTTTTAGACTTTTTTTGAGTAGGTAATGTGTGCCCCTAGTTCTGAAGGATGAGAAGGAATAAGCTATGTGCACATCTGGAGTTGGAGACAACATACAAGAGATGCCTTAAATAGGAAATAAGTTTGGCAAGTTTGCAGAAAGGAAGAAAATCACAGTGACTATAAAACGTAGGACATGAAGGAGACAGTTGGCATCTAATGGGGGAAATCATGCAGGGTGTGGTAAAGAGTTTGCATTTTTAAGTACTAGAGGCTGTTGGAAATTTTCCAGTAAAGGGATGATATGCATTGATTTACATTAGTAAATTTTTGTTTTGACTGCATTGTGGGGAATGACTGTGAAGCAGTGAGTCAAGGCTACATAATTGCAGCCTGTGTGAGCATTCTTGGTGACATAGTCTAGGCAGGGCAATGGAGAGTGACAAGGTTCCAGAGCTGGAACCTTTTGGAGGTGGAACTGACAGGACAGAGTGATACACTGGACAGGGCCACTGAAGGAGTGAGAAGATGGTATTTACATTTGACTAGAGCAGCTGGATAAACATTAGAACCACTTGTTAAGATGGAAATGTTTGAGGGAAGAACAATGCTTCCCTTTAGACATTTTTAATTTGAGAAGTCTTTTAGATCCCAATCAGAGAAATCCAGCTGGCAGGAGTCCATGAGAATAAAGCTTATGGAAGGAGAGTAGGGGTAGTGGGGAGAGTGTTGTGGGAGCTTTAAGACTGCAGAAAGTAATCGTGTCTCTCTTGATTACTCCAAGGATTTGAAAGACGGTTAGGCCATTTCTTTCTTATAGGCCGATGGTCTTATCATTGTGGTCATTGTCATATTACTGTTTGCTGTAGGCTGTTTATGTTATTTAATTCAAGAAACTATGGAACTAAATATTGTACTAGATACAAGGAACATGTGATGCATGAAACAGTCTGGGGGTTTCTGTGAGGGCAGGGATCATCTCCAGCAGAGAGGATAAATCTTCTGACAGACTTTTCAGGAATTCTGTCAGTCATTAATAAAGTATAACATGGAGGTGCATGTGCTAGAGGTGCTGACCTATTCTTAGGGTCTGTTGGGGTTCTTTGAGCTGACCATAGTGATGAGTAAGAGCTTTCTGGGTGAAGTATGCTCCAGAAAAAAAAGTTATTTGTTGGGTGGGCTAGCAGCTTGCTCTAGAGTAAAAATGAACAAAACCCTTTCTGTGAAGTGGCAGATTCTGTAGGAGGCACTCAGGTTTCCTGGCAAGACTGTGGAGTTCTTAAGAATGTTAATATGGATATGAGTTAATGATACTGGTTTCATTGTTACTGTTTAATACTTGTTATTAGAAATTTCCACTGCTCTGTGTTTAGTTTTCTTGTGGAACAGGAAATACATGAAATTGACAGCTCATGTGACTTTATACACACCATGTGTGCATCAAAGCACCTGAGAAGATTTTTGCAAAAATTCCTTATAGAATTATTAGAGGAAAGCAATTCTTCAGGTTCACCACCATTATTATTATTAACCTCATAGAATTTTAACTTGGTAAAGGGAATGTTCACCTATATTCAGAGTATTAGAACCTTGATAACATCTGATATTATTTTAAATGTTCCTAGGGTTACAAATGTATCCTTCCAAAGACCTAACACTTTGGTCAGGTTCTGTAAATGGCACAAACAACCTTGTTTGCCAAGGAATATGTACAAAGGTGTATTGACAGTAGATAGCTGCCCTGATGAGAGTTGTGAAGGATGTTGGGGCCCCTGAACAAGTGACTCCGTTGTTTCGTTGCTGTAGTGGGAGTTGTCACTGGGCTAAGTATCCTACACAACCTGACTATTGATGCCAAGTTCCTGAATGTCAAGTCCCTGGTTTAGCAAAATTGGTGCATCTTTCCTTATCGCCTCTGTTAAAGCCATCCCAGCTCTCTATTGAACTTCCTCATGCTATAAGAAGAAGTCATTTGTCCCTCCTAAACCCTGACTTCTGGCATCTAGCTGGCCTGTGCTGGGCCCCCATAGCTCTGATCTCCTTAAATATATTTCCTGCAAGGGTTCCGCTGATCAGTGGAGAGGTGTTGGGGAAGATGGTACCAAACACAATTGAGACTTTTTAGGTGGAGAATAAGTGGATGGGAATACTATTTTCTTTTGTCTTATAAGGGGGATAAAGTTAGTTTTAGTTCATTTCTGAAAAGATTGTGAATTTTGATATTTGTATAGTATACTATCATCAATGTTATCCTTTTCTTTTCAGATAATGTGGATGCAAGTGATCTTAAACAGTTTTTTGAGACCAACTATTCTCAGATTTATTTCATCTTCTATGAAAACTTTATAACACTGGAAAATAGTTTGAAATTAAAAGGTAAGCATTTCTACAATTTAAAATATATATAAAAAGTCTAAAAAGTATTCAGGAAGTTTATTTTTAGACATTTTGTATATATTTAACTTTCTTCCCAAGTCCTTAACAAAGCTGTGAAATCACAGTGGCCTGATTGACATCCTTGTTTCCCTTGAGTTTTTTTTTTCTTACGTAGGTGTTAATTAATAGCAAATGACAACAGAGAAAATAGAAGAAATCTACAGATGGTATGAGTTTCAAAGGAATAATTTGCTTAAAAAGAAAGAAAAGTAGTACCTGCACACTATTTAAAAAAATGCAGAATCTGCCCTTCCTGGTGTCACAGCATTTAAGGCGTCAGTGCTGTCAAACTATAACCAGCCACTATGGCATGATTCGGTCCCCAGCCAGGTTGCTGACCCACATGGCACAGCAAACCTTTCCTGTCTCACCTGCTGCTCCCCTCAGCAGTGTATTTCAGGAGATCTGTTTGTTCTGCTCTGCACTGTGTCTGTGGTGAATCATCTCACCTCCCCTATATTTCTGGCCTATACCCCAGTTTTTGTATGCATAGATAAATAAAAACAGATCCTAAAAAAATTAAAAATGCAGAATCTACTAAAGGGTTTGAAATGAAAACTGAAGTGTTTGTATTTCACAGAGCCCCCCCATGATTGATATGCAGAAGCAAACAATATTAATTAAACCTACAGGTAGCTTTATATATTACATAAATATATATACACACATATGTATGAATTATGTTTATACAATTTATTAAACATAACTTATTTAAAATATTCTTTGAAAATCACGTAAATGAGATCACAGTGCATTCTGCTTTATATTTGGTTGGTAGGATATGTAGCTTGGGGACCCAGATTGGGTATGGGTCCTGGTCCTACCTGTCTGCCCGTTTTTCCTTGGGCAAGTTACTTAACCTTTCTGATTCAGCTTCCGCCTATAAACTTTGAATGGGTAAGCCTTGAATGGATCTCTGGACAGCATACTAAACATAGTTTATGTTCACTAAGTGTTTGCTGCCATTGCCATGTTCATGTAATCTATTTTGGAATCCTTCTGTATTAGCACATTTATTTCTTCCTCAGTTTTAAACAATTATATAGCACTATATTGAATAGAAATGCCATACTTCTTGATAACTAACTTCTGAGTGACAGATAGAGAATCCCAAAGTTTTAAGGTTGGAAGGAACTCAAGAGATTGGGTTGTCCACACTCCTAATTTTAGAGTTGTGAAAACTGCATCCAGAGAGGTTACATAACTGGCCTAATGTCACACAGACTTTCTTTAATTGCATAAACAGAATTGCAACCAGGTTCCACTTCTGAATCCTTCTTCTCATTAGTGGTTCTCAAAGCTTGGTTCTTAGGCTAGTAGTGTGGGTATCACCTGGGTACTTGTCAAGCCTGTTGAAGCGGAAACTCTGCAAATGGAACTCAGTAATCAGTGTGTTAACAACCTCTCCAATGATAGTAATGTGTTCTCTTTCATATTTTTCCCATTAATAAAACAATATTGATAATAGATCAACAGATAGGCATTGAAATATTGTTTAGCAATACGCTTGCAGAAGAGACTGTCTTATACCCATAGCCTGAATCATGTGTGCTTTAGCATCTTGAAACTTGTCTCTAGTACTGGTGTCTCTTATGACCTAGCCGTGTGGAACTTGGTTCTGGAAGTTCTGTTACTCTCTTCTACTTATTCCTTCATTTATTTAGGGGTATTTGAATCCTGACAGTGTACATGGCACTGTACTAAATCTCTATGAGGGAATCCAGAGATGTGTCAGATACTGAACATGTTGATGGGTGGTGGTGGTACTGGTAGTTGTGGATTGGTCTGGGAATAAGTCCTGTGTATAAACTATGAAAGATACTAGAATTCAAATGTCCTGTAGTAGAAATATATGGAAGATGTTGTGGTTGTTAAGAGAGCGGGAGAGATGACTTTTGGCTGAGGATACAAGTGAGGATTAAGGGAAGAGGTTTGCAGTGCCAGAAAGCGCAGGGCCGGCTCTCTATTGATTTGGATAGACAGATCAAGGAGCGTCCTGGAGCCCTCAGTAGCTTTTTTAAGCTTTAATGTTCTTTCTATGCCAGTTGTTGTGGGGTAAGCCCACAGGCTGGTAAGGCAGGGAGGCCAAGAGTCCAGAAGACTGGCAGGTTTCCCAGCCCCCCGGGGAATCTTTACTCTTTCTCTTTGGGCTCTCTCTGGCTTTCTCTTATGGTCTCTTCCTCTTGTAGTCATCACTTATCCTCTTGTAGCGGTTCTTCCATAGCCATCTCTGAGTAACATCACCCTTATAACCTAGCGTCCAGGCTCAGATGGGCACACTTAATGCATGCCCACACCCATGCTCACTCAGGTGTCCATTCAGGCATGTATGGTCTGCACCCATGCTTCCAAGCACCCCTTAGACTGATGCTGTTAAAGCAGGGGGTGCTTGGAAGCATGGGCACAGGGCACCCATGCCTGAATGGACACCTGAGTGAGTGGATGTGGGCATGTACAGAGGTTAGAGGTGCAAATCTATAATGTAGCCTTGGGGATGGATCCTAAAGAAGACATAAGATTTCAAGTGCAGGAGAACAGCACTACAGATGAGGGGTAGAACATGAGCAAAGGCATGGATGCTGTTTTTAGGTTATCTATGGGGAAAGTGTTTCTTTTCCTTGCAACACGAAATGTGTAAAAAGAGATTTGCAGGGCTTTCCCTGGTGGTGCAGTATGTTAAAGCACAGCACTATGGAGCTAGCTGCAGCTGCTTTGACATGAGTTTGATCCTGGGCCAGGGAGGTGACCCACATGGTATAGCAGACCTCCTCTGTCTTACCCACTACTCCCCTCAGCTGTGTACTTCATCAATCTGCCTGTTCTGCTCCTGGCTCTGTTTTTGGTGAATCCTCTCACCACTCCTGTACCTCTGGCTTGTACCCTAGTTCTGTATGCATAAATAAATAAATCTTTTTTGTAAAAAAAAGAAAAAGAGATTTGCAGGAAATCTCTTTTAAGGAGCCCTAATTTCTAGGATAAGGAATTTGGACTTTGTTCTTCAAGGTAGTTGGAAATCTTGAAATGCTTGCTACTAAGACAAAATCTCATATTGGTAAATGAATAGAGGCAGGAATATCAATATAGAGGCCGATGCTGTCATTCACATGAGAGCTGGTGACACTTGATCCAGAAAGTGGCAGTTAAAGGCAGAGAAAGTAATATGCTTCAGTGGGTGCCTTATCCATGAGACTTGGATATAGGACAAAGGATACAGAAGGGAAAAGTTGAAGAGGCTTTCAGGATGTTGATTCTGCTTCATAATTTACCATCACAGTAGAGAAACCCTAGAAGTGAGCCAGTTTTGGGAGGGTGAGTATAGCTTTTGACAGTTTAAATTTGATGTGTCTGTGGTACACCCAGGTGTTGATTCTGATTGACAGTAAAAATAAAGAGACTAGAGTCTGGAAGAACAGGGGAGAAATCATGCCTATTACCATTGAAAAAGTTATATACATATGACAGTGAGAGCTTTGCATTGAATCTTTCTTTCATTGAGTAAATGAAGGAGAAAGATATAACAATGTGGGGGTGGGGTGGGGGGATAGTGGGAGGATACTGGGAAGGTGTTTTGTCACAGAATCCAGGGAAAATTTTGAGGAATAAAAGATCAATGCCTGATGATATGAAACATTAGCAATGAGGTTGTCCCTGACTGCCGAAGAGAAGTTCTAGGTGATCAGTGAAGTCAGAAACCAAAAACAGAAGTGGAATAATTTCCATTATTGGTGGTAAGTGAATTCTGCATGTGAAAATATTCTTTTACAGAGTTTGAGAATGAAGACAGAAGATTGTGTCTCAAGGAGTAGCTTGGTTGTGGAAAGGCTTTTAAGATGCATTTGCCTATTTGCAGGCTGAAGACATGGAGATAACTAAAGGTGCAAGGTGTTTGGGGAAGTGGGCTGAGGAGGGTTAAATAAAAAGAAAAGGATGCAGAAATGCCCCAACTGTTTCTGTAAAACTGGAGACAGTTGCTAGGTGTGGAGGAGAAGAAATTTGGGGTGAGGCACTGTGGTAGATTCTGACATATAACCGATGGCTCATGGTCTAGAATGTTTCAGGCTTTGTAGGTTATTAAATCATATACAAACATATAGGATACCAGCAAGTGTGTATCTTAATTGCTGATATTTTCTTGTGATTTATCAATTGACGTAAATCTTGAACTTAAACTTTTTATTTTTTCGAAATTGATATATATTTTCACTATGAAAAGATCCAACTTTTATCTTGTTTCCTAGTATTGCTCTGCTTTATTTCATGATATGTCAAGGAGAAAAGTGTGACATTATGTATAGTCAAAATAGCAAAGAAGAAAACAAAACCTCATATCTGAAAAAGGAAAAAAAAAAAAGACATGACCTGGAAAACTCTGTAAAGGGTCCTCCCTTCCTCCTCCTTTTCTCCTTTGCTTCTATCATTTTAGACAAACGTAGTGATTCAAAACTATCAGTTTGTACTGTGTAACAAATTGCATAACGAGCCATCTCCAAAACTAGTGCCTTAAGACATTAAATAGTCATTTAGTTTATGATTTAGTTTCTGGTGTAGGCTGTCTGATATCATCTGACGGCAAATGACCCCATTCATATGTCTTATGGTGGGCAAGCTATTGATCAGAGTGCCTTAGAGCTGGAGAGCTCTAACCTTACCTGCTGCCCCACCACCTTTTCTTCAGCCAAGAGGCCTTCTAATTGATTTTTGACTATACCACACCTGCTTCACCATGAGGATTTTTGTAATGTCCAGTTCCTCTGCCAGGAACATACTTAAACCCAAATTCCATATGATTGATTTCTTAACTTCCAAATTTCTAAGAGACTTAAACTCTTTAGATCTTTGCTGGGGTGTCATCCAAAAGGCATTCTTTGATTTTCTTAGTCAAATTTGCACATCACCATTTTTCCCATGTGCCTCTTGTTTTTCTCACTTATCTATTGAATGCTTCCTCCTGCTAGAATGTAATTTTCTTCAGAGCAGGTATTACTGTGTTTTCTTTATTCCCATATTCTTAGGTCTTAGAATGAATGGTATCAAGTTCATAGATTTGTAGGGTTTCAGTTAGATCAGAAGTTCACACCTTAAAGCTTTCTTCCTAGTTTTGTAATACAGTTTTTGAATATAGCCATATACATTCATTTATATATTGTGTGTGGTTGCTTTTATGTTATAAAGACAGAATTGAGTGATTGCAAAGAAGCCTGGAAAGCCTAAAATACTTACTGTCTTCTCCTTTACAGGAAAAGTTTCCCTGTTTCTGAGTTAGATGTTGTATGTTTAGTACTGAGCACAGTGCTTGGTGCCTAGAAACTGGACAGTAGATGGTAATGGCTGTTGTAGGTGTGGAAGTTTTCATTACTGTTTTTATCAAAAGGATAGTGTGCAATTGCCTAAAGAGATGTGTAACTTTTTAATAGTTCTTATTGCTCTATCCCTCTTCATGTCACAAGGCTAGAACTCTGTTTTTGCTGTGCATTCTGCCGTAATTTGAGCTGATAAGTAATTGAGAAATGGATAATTTACCTGCCACAGGTTGATAACTTGGAAACATGGAAGCTGTGTTTAAATAGCAAGGAGCAGCTGTTAGATGTCAACCCAGAAGGTCTGGTTTGATTGTTTGTATGCATTTTTAACACTAGCTCTATACCACCTCTCAGTATTTTTTGAATATATAAATGCTTGTTGAGAGTTAAATGTTTAAGATGCCTTCTAACATAATTTTTAACCTAGTAAAATATAGATGTTGACGTAATTTTTTTTCATGTATTCCAGGGAATAATAAATCACAACGGGAGGAGCTGGACTCTATCCTCTTTCTTTTTGAAGTAAGTTTTTGTTAGTTCATTTAGTTTTTAATATTCTTGTAAAAAAATTTGGTATTTTATTTTACTTATTTTTAAATGTGGTATTTTAGATTTTAAATTCACTGGAAGACCACCTTCTCCTCCCTCCATTTTCCCTTTCCTCCTTTTACAAACAATGTTACAAAGAATGTTCTTTTGACTTTTGTAAAAATCTAGGAACATTTTTTTTTTCTGTTTGGATATCTAGATGTGAAATTATTAGTTGGAAACATTTGCACATTTTATATGCTAATCGAATTGCCAAATTTCTCTTTCAAAAGGTGATATATAAAGTTATATGTAAGTCTTATGTAAATTTCCATAATCAACATTGACGTCCTTTTAATATATATAAACAGATATTCAAATAGTCACTACTTTTAATATACAATTTTCTGACTACTTGTGAGATTTTGATCTTTATATGTGTTTGTATGTCCATGTACAATCATCTAGTCTTAAAATTGGAACATTTGGGTGTGGATTTTGATCTACTAAGCTTAACATGTTTCTTGTCAAATCTTTAGATACGTGGTCAGGTTACTCTTAAGACCTATACTTGGAAGTGAACTATAGGTTCTAAAAGTTAAATTGTTACCTAGCAGTTAGTTATTGTCTTAAGAAACATGAGCTTAGGTTAGTGCTTAGGTATAAGAGCTACTTCATGACTGGAAAGGAAAGACCTATGTGTGTGTATTTGCTCCAAAGCTGAATGGAACTGAATGGAACTGAATGGGTGATGGTCAAGGGAGAAAGGCTCTCCGTAAGTTTTTGGGTTTGTAGAATAAACCAAATGTAGCCTAAGATTTGGCTTTTTGGCTGGAATTCAGTAACTGCGTGACTCTCCTTTCCCTCATTTATGGGCAGTACTGCCCCAGAGTAACAGACGTTGATTCATTGTAATTCCACGCTGTTTATTATGGCTACTCTCCTGTTAATGAAACCTGTGCAGTAGTGACTTAATTAGATCCATCACTTAAATATCTACCTGTTGACCATAATTTTTTTGCACCAGTTCATTAATGTATGTTTTATGTAATAGTTAATGTATTTACTAAAGGATCTGTAACATATATGCAAGTTATAGCATGATGCTAAAGCTCATCCTCTGGAGAGCTTCCCCTCCATTTTAAGAACAAGGAACTGCTTATGTACTCCTCCTGAGCCCTCCCTACCTCTCCAGTGAAGGCGCACACTACTCTGCATTTTATCATTCCCTTCTAAAAAATTATTTTACCACATGTAGTTGCATCCCTAATCAATGCGTTAAATAGTTTTGTTTGTTTTTTTGGAGTAATACAAATGAATCACATATGATACAACATTATTTCTAAACACATATCATTCATTCCATTCCCACTGCTGGATTAAGTGAATATATATGAATTTTTAACTCTAATATTTCACCCATAAGTGATTTTTTTGTTTTGTTTTGTTTCTTGGTAGACATTTGGGTTGTGAATAATGACAAATTTGCCACTTAGTCTTTCTTTGTCTTATTGTCCTAGCTCATCCTCCAGTGTATTGAATAGAAATTTTTTTTTGTTACTATTGTTATAAGATCTATTTATTTTATGTATACAAGAACTGAGGTTCAGGCTAGAGGTGCAGGGAAGTGAGAGGATTCACCCTAGAGAGAGTGGGGAGCAGAACAGGTATATTGAATGAAGTACACTGCTGAAGGGAGCAGTGGGCGAGACAGGAGAGGTCTGCAGTGTCATGTGGGTCAGCTACTTGGCTGGGTATCAAACACATGCTGTGGTGGCTGTGGATAGCTTCATAGTGCTGTGCTTTAGCTTCATAGTCCTTGTGTCGTCAGAGAGGGCTCTGAATAGAAATTTTAAAAGAGGTCATCTTGTTTTTGGTGCAGAGAAAGCTTTCTTAATATCCTTAAAAATGAGGTTTTCTTTTTTTCCCCTGATCCCTTGTTTGGTTCCCCTATACTCCTCTATAAGAGAAGCCATCCCATATTTTCCTTTTTCTTCTGGTTTATTTCACTGAGCATAAGTCCTCAGAGCAGAAAGCAAACATTGCACAAAAATGAGTAATGATGTAAACCATATATATCCATACATATGTATATAAGAATAATGTTTTCTACATGTCCATGGTGCAGATACTCTATCAGATATAGGAAGTTTGTTTCAATTCCTAGGTGATTAAGTTTTATTAGAAAAACCTTAGATGGGTTTTGAAGTTCAGGCTAGAGGTGCAGGGAGGTGAGAGGATTCACCCTAAACAGAGTGGGGAGCAGAACAGGTATACTGCTGAGGGGAGCAGTGGGCGAGACAGGAGAGGTATGTGAATGATCCTTTCAATTTTAAAATAGTTTGTATAAGATTGATATGTTCTGTTCTTGGAATCTTTATTAGTCTTTCTTGCAAAAATAGAAATACTTTAGGAGTATTAAGATTTTAATTTTATCTTGATTTAGGTTTGGTAACTTTTATATATTTTTTAAGAATTTGAAGAATATGTTTATATTACCAAAGGTCTAATAATTTTGACAAGAAGATGCTTTCCTTCTTATAGGGGTCATAATCTCTTGTTATCTGTTCTAAATATATATTCGTTGTATTGAAACATTTGTTACTTAAAGTGGAAGTACTAATAGTATGTAGTGAAATAGTGTAGTGCAAGTATTTGTGTCACACTTCATAGATATTATGTTCTGTCTTCCAGTTGCCATTGTAGAAGTTTTAAACTCTGTTCTCAGTCTAATTTTTATCTTTTAAATGCCTTTTCTCTCTGACATCCCCTAAGATCTTATTTTAAGTCTTTTGTGTCTGCAATTTCACCACAGAATAGCTAGCTGAGGTTTTTGTTTAAACTTTAATTTCATTTGATGATTTTTTAAATTTTGTTGTTTTATGTGTGCTTCCTATATTTCTGGATTCTTTTCTGATCGCCTGGCTGTACTTTGCATATTTAAACATCTCAATCTATCCTCTGTGTGTCTTAAGCTTGCTTTTATCTTCTTCCCCCATCTCTTTGTATAACTTTCTGGGAAAAAAATTCAGGTCTCTCTTCCAGTTCATTAGCTATTTAGTTGTAATCTGTGGTTAAATAATTGTGTTGAGTTTTTAATTTTGATTTTTTTTTCAGGTTTAACTTTTGAGTTACTATGTATATGTAGCTGGTTGTCTTTAGTAGTTTCTTGATCTTTGTTAGTTTTAAGACATCTCTCTTAAACGCGTAATATGCAGTATCTCATGTTCTGTATTTGAGAATTTTTTTTTTAAGATTTATTTATTTGTACATACAGAACTGGGGTACAGGCCAGAGGCTGAGGGGTGGTGAGAGGCTTCACCAGAGACAGAGTGGAGAGCAGAACAGACAGATTGACGAAAGACACTGCTGAGGGGAGCAGCGGGCGGGTCAGGAGAGGTCTGCCGCGACATGTGGTCACCTCCGGGGCAGGCGGGAATCGAACTCATGTGGAAGTGGCTTTAGCTTCTCGATGCTGTGCTTTAACCCACTGCACCACCAGGGAGGGCCTGTATTTGAGAATTTTTAAAGTCTTAGGTTGTTTAAATCTTTTTGGTTATTTCTGCTTTTTCTCATGCTCATGGCTTCTTTCCTTGCATCTTCTGCCATTATTTTGAGGGAAGATTTAATTGAAGACAAATTTAATCTATGTAAATCTTGGTTTCTTCTAGAGGTTTTGTTTTTTCTTTTGCCAGGAATCTGGGAGTACTCTTAATTAGTATCACTTTGTCTTCATTTGTATATCATTATTTATTAATGGAAATCTCAGGTTCATTTCCCCAAACACATGATGCTGTGGGAACTATGGTCTTGAGGGCACAGATATCTATGCCTAGCATTAACTCTCTGGTACCCTGCATTTCCTGTGATTATTGCTTACAGAACAGCTTTTTGTTTGCACTTTCTCTTGCTACTTTTCTTCTTTTGCATTTTGCTATAACTTTTTTTTTTTTTTAAGTCTTCCTGGTGTCTCAGGGTTAAGTCTCAGCACTATCAAGCTGAGTGCTACTAGCCACTACAGCATGAATTTGAACCCTAACCAGTAAGCTAACCCATATGGTGCAATAGAAATCTCCTGTCTCCACAGCTGCTCCCCTCAGCAGTGTATTTCAGTCAGTCCTCCTGTTCTGCTCCCCACTGTGTCTTTGGTCAATTTTCTCATCCCTGCCTGACACCTCTAGCCTGTACTCCAGATCTGGTATGCATAAATAAAAGTAAGTAAAAGTACTTGCTTAATTTTCCCTTGGCTTTCAAAGCTCAGAAATGTTTTGAGAGTTACATTTGCTGTCATTGGTATCAGATCTGGCTGTCCTGTAGCAGGACAAGCTCATCAGAGGTGCTATTCTTATACTTCCCACAGAGAGGGTTTCAATACCTTCCCCTCATGTCTAGAAATTCTAGATTAGGAAGAGTGTTACTACTGATAAATTGCCATTTACAGAGAATTAGTTATCTCTGTAGCACAATAAATATATAGTCAGAAACTTAATGAAGCTTTCATTTACATAGTAAATATGATTGAGTGATGGACTTTTAATTACTTCTATTTCTCTGATTTTAGAAGGTACGTTGTAATTTTTATGTTTCATTCTGAGTACTAAGTAATGTTATTTTCACTTTCTACAAGTTATAGCTGTGTAAAGGGATGGCTTATAGGAATTGGAGTAATTACTTATGGTGTAAATATTTGGGAAAGACATTTTTAGAAAAAGTGAAATTATTAAGGCATGTTATATCATGGAATGGATACTATGTAAAGATAGTCTGTAAATACGAGATGGTTTGGAAAAAAGCATAGAGGTATGAAAGTGCAGAAGACTTGAAAGCAGATTATGTAGGGAGAGCTTATGTCCACCTTTTTTTTTAGTCAGGGCAATCTGGAAAGGGACCTTTGAAAAAGGAAACAGTAGTTTTTATGACTATACTACTGGAGATGTGATAGTATTTTGAAACCACAATTGACATGTGCAGTCAGGACTACCCACTCAGACTGA